GGATTTCCAGAACTGCTTTGGAAAGTGGCAAGAACAATGGGGTAAGTGTATCAGAAGTGAAGGGAAGGGCTGGGGATTTAGCTCAGTGGTTTCACCCCTGCTTTGCAAGCACAAGGACCCCAGTTCAATCCCTGGTACCAAAAACAAAAGAGTACATTAAAAAAAAAAAAAAAAAAGAAGTGAAGGGAAGTATTTTGAGGAGGATTAATGGTGATATGTCTTTTACTGCAATACATTTTTAAAATATTTAACCCTTAACCACATTTTTTTATTTCCTGTTTGAGGGCATCCTGACGTGAGCGGTCTGTATAATTCCGTCTAGAATAGCTGAATCCCTACTCTTCTCTGCTGAGAACCATTCCCCTATGGCAGCCAAATCATTATCCCTTACATAGATGAATTTTTCCTAGAGCTCTAGCTAAATTCCTGTTTAGAAAAAAATCGTTTTTTCCTTTATCTCATCTTTCAAAATAGCTTGAGACTAATTTTAACAGTCTTCCAAAATATTCCACCTTTTAGAAAGAGATCAAGTGGTAAGAACAGCTTATTCATTAGGCAAAACATCATTGAATGTGAGTTTGAATTTGTAACTTTGCGTAATAGGAATTTAAAATTGCAACATATACTTGTAGCAAGAGAGCTATTTGAGCCCAAAGTTAATAGTTAAATAGTCATCTTGTCTTTCCTACTTGCTGTATTGTTTACCCCAGCCTTCCACAGATGTTTATTTAATTCATTTCTCTAAGTAGATATTAATAAACTTCGAACTTCTGTTTGTCTTTCACTTCAACACAAGCAAAATGAATTTATTTTCTTCTGTTATAATTGATTCATTTTTCCATTATTCCAGCTTGCTTTCCATGAGTTGCATGTGAAGTACACAATGTTAGCAGGATGTACAATTTAGCCATTTGGATTTCATCCATTTCTCTAGGACTACACTGTTTGCAACATTAATTAAATCATTCTGCAGAGTTTTAGGACAGAATCAACAACTGAGCTTTAACCAGAGGAGGATGAGTGATGGACAGAGATTTCTCAAAGACAAATTTTGAAGCTACCAAGTGTTGGTCAGTGGTAGAGCACTTGCCTAGTATGTGCAAGGGTGTTCAATCCCTAGCACTACAAAAACAACATAAAAACAAACAAGCAAAAACTTAAGATTGAGGCAGGGTGTGGAGGGAGGGAGAGTAAAGTGGGACTGTATTTGTCAGTTTGCTGTTATTATGACAAATACCAGAGATATAAGGTGGAAAATTTTATTTTGGCTCATAGTTTTAGAGGTTTCAGTCCATGGTCAGTTGGCCCTGTTGCTTTTGGGCCTGTGGTGACACAAACATCATGGTGGAAGCATATAGTGGAGAAAGCTATTCACCTCATGTCTGGGATGAAGAAGAGAAATAGAAAGAGATCAGGGCCCCACAGTCCCTTCGAGGGCATGCTCCCATTGACCTAAAGACCTTCCACTAAGACTTGCCTCCTAAAAGTTCCACAATAGTGCCAAGCTGAGGGGTAAGACACATGGGCCTTGGGAGACAGTCCTCATCCAAACTATAGCAAGGACCAAGGGAAGCTGTGCCCCCGCCCCCATCCTGAAGGTGTAGGCCATGCTCACCCTGGCTATGGTGTCTCAGAGGAAAGGCCAGCTGTGAGCAAAAATGTAGGGACACTGTTCTCTCCACATCCATCCATGCTCTAATGTTCTACCCAATATTTCAGAAGTTCTGCTACATGAGCAAAATAATGATACCCACATCTTTATTGGTTCTTCCCTCTCCACTTTTGAAGTTGGTTTAGGGCTCAGTTTCCCCTCAAAAAGGCTTCCTCAGTGCCCGGTTAGACTTACATCTTCAGATTCTCATTCTCACATGGAACTTCAACAACTTCCCACCATAACTACCTCCTGATAACTCCATGCTGCCATCTTTCATCTCCAAGGCTACTATCCCGGGGCAATTTCAGATGTTCCCTAAGTACCATGAGCTCCGGGAGATTCCAATCAGCAGGAGGCTGGGAAAGAGAAACAATAGGAATGGAGCTCCTGCCAAGACAAGTGAAGTAGCTTCTCTGCTGGGCCAGTTCTTGGAACCAGTGATCTTGAAAGGTAACCATGAGGTCCCAGGGATGCACCATTTGTGGATGCTGAGAAAAACAGAAACAGAAGAGAAACGGTTTGTAGCATTGTCTACTCTGCCTGAGCTTATTGAAGCTGTGACCCCCTTTCAAACTGTCTGGGGACTCATCTTTTGATCCCGCTGGTCCACAGCCTGCTCTCCCCTGGAAGGCCCAAGGTGACTTTCTATTCTTATTATTCACTTGATCGTAGGTTGCCTAGGACACCTCTTGAGTTAGCTTTTACATTGCATTTAAAGTTTTCCCCATGGGATATTTGATCTCAGATCCTTGACAGCAGAGGAGCCCTTGGCACCAGCTGGCAATCTAGACGTGGCTGTAGGCATAGCAAGAGTAGGAGAATCAGTTACTCTTTTGCCTGTACTGACAGTGTTAAGATGTATGGTAGGAAAGCTGGAATCCATAATGAATAGAAAGAGCTACCTTTGTTTGAGACCATGCAAACTAGCAAGGGGAGCTAAGGCACTTGTTAAAAGATAATAGAATCTAAAATAATATTTTCCTTTAATTATTTGGACACTTTAGAGATGAGCTATCTAATTTTCTTAGTCTTTTATGTCATTTGGTATAGGTAGTGTTCTAGCTTGGATCAGCAACGTCTTCCAGAGATCCAAGTGTTAAAGGCATGGTTGATAGCTGTCATGAGTAAGCAGTCTCTCTGCCACGCACTACTGCCATTAGGTACTGCTTCACCCCAGGCCCCAAGCCCATGGTGCTAAGTGACCATGGGCTGAAACCTTTGAAACTGTGAACAGCTACTCGGCACAGTTGGGTTATAACACAAATGCTACAGGGATAGAGGGAGAATCAGAGAAGGCATCCTGGACCTGCATTTAGCAAGTCACTTTATGGGGAGGGGAGTGAGACAGGGTCTCACTATGTAGCCCAGGCTGGTCTTGAATTTGCAGAAATCCTCCTGCCTCAGCCTCTCAAGTGCTGGGATTATAGGCATGTGCCACCATGCCTAGAGTTATCTTTTTTGGGGTCAGGGTGTCTAGTATATGACTTGAGTCTTGGAAGATGAGTCATTGAGCCCTTAGGTACAGAACAAGAAAACATATTTGCAATGGAGATGCAGTTTGTATCAAGGCAGAGAGACATGAAACACCCTGGAGCATGCCAAGAAAGGCAGTTTTTGGGGGAGAAACTGCTCAAGGCTCTGTGTGTGTGTGTGTGTGTGTGTGTGTGTCTGTACACTTGTGTGTACGTGTTTAGCAGGGAAGGGATGATGAAACTGGAGAAGTAATAATCTTAAAGCCATGTACTATTTATATTTTACCCAGTAGATAAAAGGAAGCTAGTTGAGTTTTTTTCAGTCATGGAAGTAAAATCATTAAAGGTTTAGTAATGCTCTGCTGTAGAGAAAGAATTGGAGGGATGTTATTCCAGAGGCTGAGAAACCAGAGTCTTGCTAAGACTCCTGCCTGCCAGTCTGCATAAGAGCATAAAGACCTGGATTAAGGCAGGAGGTTTTAGAGAAAAATAGAAGACACTGACAAATCTGGGGCCATGAGATGTGAGGCGGCATGTAGCTTGGAAATGTTCCAAACACATAACTTGTTATGTGATGTTTTTGTTTTGGATTATATTCCCCACCCCTTTGAGAGTGCAAGATCTTACCAGACCCACATCTTGTAGGGAACTCCCTCTCCCCTCAGGAATGTTAAGTCAGGACTCATCAGACTCCATATATGGGTTCCTAACCTAGCCTCTGCCCTCAACTACTGGACTTCAACACACACTCGCACGCGTGCGCGCACACACACACACACACACCATATATATATTGGCACTTATATCATTGGCACGTTACATATTATTGACTGGCACTTTAAGAGCTTAGGCCATAGGAAGGCTATATTCTGCTGCCATTTCTCTGAATATGCAGAGCTCAGGCTTTAACAAGGTGACACCCTGTTAGCGTAGCGGCTACTCTAAAGCCTTGCCTGCCAATGCCTGCATCATGCAGTGGCATTAAAGGACCTCACATGTCTCCATCTCCGTGATAGTGTTCAAGCCAGTTCTCCCAAAAATCATACAAGAGAAACCTGAGGGGGTGGAAGTGTGGCTTAGTGGTAGAGCACTAAGCTCTGGGTACAATCCCCAGCATCCCCCCAAAAGAGGATACCTCAACTTTTATTATTCCCTTTCCACAGAGGCTTGCTTCCATCCTAACAGAACTAGAGTTTTAACAACCTAATATTCTAATTGAAGAGCACGTTAACAATTTTGGAGCTCATTTACTATGTGGTCAACGTACCACAATAATTGGTTTGTTCATGCTACTCTCCTCTTTAAGCACTGTGAACTCAGAAAACATTCTCTTTGGATGGCAACAAGCTGTGTGACTTGAGAAATCATACTTTAATCTTCTCCTTATTTCTATAATATGCAACAGAGGATCAGGAAGAGAGGAAGAGAGGAAGGGAAGGAGGATTTTGAGGCAGTTCCTGACCTGCAAAGCCCACCTATTGACATAAGTGAATCCTGGAAAAGCGGTGGTTTTTTTCTTTTTCTTACAATAAGAGAGGCTACACTTATATTTGCACCAATAAATAAAAATATTACTCATGGTTCGTGACTTTTTGTATCAGCTCATAATGTATCCCTTCACTTCAAAAACACAGTCAATTTCATACTGTGGCAAAATACCCTAATTAGAGATATCCTGCGGTTATTCAAATCCCTTTCCTCCCCTGCATACCTTCCCTTCTCCCATAGCAGACTCCCTCTACAGAACCCCCTCCCTACCACATGACATCAATCAGAGTTCAGACTTAAGACAAGCATCGAGCAGTTCTGGGCTCTGGTGCAAGTATGATTTCTATAAAAAGGCATTTAGAAAACAAGGAGCAATGTTGCCATTTTGCCTTTAATGGAAAAGTGACCAGCAGTTACAGTTTTTTAAAAAAAGTTCTTTTATTAAAAAAAAAAATTCTACCTAACTTGTAGACAATCACTGTTTGAATTTTCAGAAATACACATACACTTGAAAACCAATAGTTTTTACAAAAATAAACTCTGAATATGTGATTAAAAAGGGAGAGACCCAGTCTTTTTAGCTGCACAAGTGCATAATAAAAAGGACACAGTTTGCCTGAGATGGTTCACCCCAGGGCAGAGGGGGCTTTGACTTTGGAGGACAGAGCCTGCTTGAAGCGCCTCTTCAGGTCCTGCATGTTGGGGGAGCGTGGCCGAGGGATGATAGAGGTCCTTCTCCTCTCCCCACTGAGGCTGTGCAGCTTGCTTACTTCCTTGCAGAGGTGCTGAAACACATCGCAGACATCTTCATAGTTTTCACTAGTGGATATTTCAAGGAATAGGCTGCCCAGCTCGTTAGCTAGCTGAATGCCATCATGTGTTTGCACCTGCCGGGCATGCAGAAGGTCCCCCTTGTTGGCCACAATGATGACAGGGACTTTTGAGTCAGGGTGGACCTTACGGACATGCTGGTAGAGGGGCCGGATGGACTGGTAGCTGTTGTAGTCTGTGATGGAATAGACCAGCAGAAAGCCATCTGCCCACTGTACACACTTGGACAGGGAATCCACTGCCTGGCTGAGGTTGTCTTGGGCCTGAGAAAGATCAAAATGAGATCTGGTCAAGGAAGCTCTTGGTGAGAGATGAGTTTAAATATATCATCAAAATAACCATTGAAGAAACACTGGAAAAAGAAAGCATTAAATAGTTTTCAGGTTCTACCCAGCTTCTGCAGAAGGCTTTTGATAGAGAAACTGTAAATTCTCAAACTCCCTGCCTACCTTATTTTATTAGCTGTTATTGGTGCATTATTTTTAACCTCCCTACTTGACCTGGTGAACTGTGACTGAAGAACAACTTTAAACCAGAATGGCTCAATTTTTAGAGAACTTCATAATAAACAAAACTTTGAAAATAAGCCAAGATAAATATCTTTTCCCAAACCCATAAAAATATTTTTAGCAGGCAACTTCGTGAGAATGCTACAGAAATAAATTCCTTTCTTTGGACTCTTCCCCAAGACCTTTCCTCCCTAGTAGGGATTAGCATTAGTAACTTGTTGGTTAAGTTAGATTCCAGACCGCTGGCCAAGGGGTTATCTGATTGCAATTACTGACTTAAAGAAGCAGCCAACAACAGGAGCACTTGGCAGTCCTTGGTAGAAAGAAGACCCTCTCCCCCCAGAATCCCACCCTTTCTTGCTTTTGTCTACTAGTTAATTTTTGTAAGGTGTTGAGAATCGAGCAGGGCATGGGGCATGGTGCGGGGAGGCCTTACACATGTTAACCACACTCTTTACCACCAACCTACATTTCCAGCCCGGATTTTTTTGTTTGTTTCATGGCTGAGCTCTGAAAGTGGTGAGAGGTGCCTTAGTGACTGGCTGTCAGGGCTGCAAAGTGAAGGGAAGCAGCAGGTCAGTGACCCATATATGGGGTCTGATAAGGTCTCCGATAACATTACTGAGGGAAGAGGGAGTTCCCTAAGAGATGCAGGGTCTGCTACTTCTTGCATTGTCAAAGGTGCCTCGAATCAACCCTCTCCCTTGGAGGGTTTACAGTACCCCAATCCCAGACCCACCAGTGGACAGCACATCATAGGAATTTAGTCATCTGGCCCAGGACCGACCTACATGCTGGCCATCCTCTAGTGGCCCCGGAGGGGTGAGCTGTTCGCTCCCGGCAGTCCTTACCTGGACACTACCAGGTGTGTCCTGGATCTGCAGGGATAGCTGGTCCCCTTCGACAAAGACGAGCCGGGAATACAACTTGCCTGGAGTGTGAAGGAAGAGTTTACTTTTAAATTCCCCCACTCGAATCAGCAAACAAACATGCAGTCAGAAAAACAGAGAGCACGAAGTTATTCTAACCTGTATTCGGTTCGTAGTCGCCAATGAATCGCTTGGTCAGGAAGCGAACAATCATTGCTGAAAAGGAAACAGGAATATCAAGTCGGGGGACAGGACAAGAGCGTAAATCGGGGACACCCCGGGGGAGCTGGGGGAGCCGTGATGGGCCGCGGAGCACGACGCACTGCCCGCATCGCACTCACGGCTCTGCAAAGCCTGAGGTGCAGCCGAGTGGCCTCCCGAGGTACTGGGACTGGCACGACCGGAGGGAACACCTCCCGCACCCCATCCTCGACCAGGCGCCAACCCATGCTACAGCCCAAGGGCAGATGCTCCCAGGAAACAGGTGGGCAGAAGGGCGCCAGGACGGATAGGGGACCCTTGCGTTGCCAACGCAGCCAGGTTCCTTCGGTCCCCGGCCCTCCCACCTCCGCCGAAGCCTCGGCTCTCCGCCGCGCGGTCGCCGACCCACTCACCGCTCTTGCCCACGTGCCCGGCGCCCAGCACCGCCAGCTTGATGTCTTTGGGCAGGAAGCAGTCGGAGGAGGACTCCGGGATGGGCGCGAGTAGAAAGTGCCCGGACATGGTGGGTAGCCACATGGAGCTCGTCCCACGGCGGGGCGAGCAAGCCTAGCGGTCGGGGACGCGCCCGCACAAGGGGCCGCCTCCGAGCCCAGAGATCGAGACGCGGCGCTGTCCTGGCTCGCGGCTTTTAAAGGGCCGGGCGCTCCCGGTGCCGGGGGACGGCGTCCAGCTCCTCCCACAGCCCGCCCCTACCCCTGGAGCGGTGAGGAAGGGCGGGAGCGGCCCCCGCGAGGTTGGCGTCCTGTCCCCGCCCGCGTGCGCGCAGCCTCGAGCTTGACGCGCTGCGCCAGCAGACCCGGTATCCTGCCTCTGCTCCCGCTGTGCCTGCCCAACCTGCGGGCCCCTCCAACCCACTGAGCCTCACCTGAGTCTTTAGTCCTGTGAGTGAATCTGAGTTTGGGGTCGGTGGAAGAAAGGAAAAGAGAAAAGTACAATCGGTTGGATACATCCTCAACAATGGGAGGAATAAATTCCTACCGACTTTTGCCCCCCCCCCCCGGTACCGGGGATCGAACTCAGGACCTTGCGCTTGCGAGGCAGGCACTGGAACCACTGAACTAAATCCCCGACCCTGCCCTTTTTATTTTTAAAAGTTGCTGAGGGGTGACATTAATATGAGGAAAGAAAGGGAGGGGACATAAGCCCTAAATCGGTATCCATCATGGTAACTACATTCACTTGCTTGTGAAGTCCCCTTGGGGGCAGTCACTGTTTGCAGCTCAGAATCTAGACCTGGCAGCCCCTTCTCTGCTGGCGCTGGGCCGGCTGACTCACCCGGAACACTCAAGAGCATTCCACCTGCTGTGAGCTGCAGTTCAGGACTCCTCCATCATTCATCCTGTCGCCTGCACTTGACTCATGCCTGTGCTTCATTATTTCAGTATTTACTTCTAGTACAGGTGGAGTTGAGGGAGTGGGAGGAAGAGAACACAAGGGAGAGGTATGGCCAGTTCTTGGAGCCCAACATGGTGAGGCAGAAACCTTGGAAGTTTATCCTTGCACAGTTAATAAACCTTCATGCTTGTCGTGTCCTGCGTTTCAGCCTTATCTGTACAACTGCCTACGTATTAGCTCCAAACTATTCACTCCCTTTCCCTATCCTGGTTTTTATCAATTAACTGTGTGATAAGCCAGACAAAACTTAATGGCTTAGGGTAACAATCTCTTGTACTTGCTTACAGGGCTGTAGCTCAGGGGTTTCAGGGGGTCCACTACTTAATATAGGTCAGGCAAGCTCAGCTGATCGTGGCTGACTCCTTTGCTGCATAGAGCTCCCAGGTCCTGGAGGAAAGATCAGGCCAGATGCCCCAGGATGGGCTCACTCAGTCTGCCTGTAGGCTGAGCAAAGGGGTAGTAGCTGAGTCACATATCTCCCTCCAGCAGGCTGGCAGGGCTTATTGTCATGGAGAATTGTTAAGCAGAATTGTGAGTAGAAGTGCTCAAAGCCTCATGAGGTCTAAGCTCTGATGTGGAATCTGCCACTTGTGTTGCATTCTGTTGACCAAAGCAAGTCAGGAGGCCAGCCTCAATTCAGTAGGTGGAGAGATATACTATACTTCTCTGTGGAAGGAGCAGCAATGGCCCATTTGAAAGGACTATGGCAGAAAGCAGTAGAGAACATGGTCCATTTGTGCAGTTGAACACACTGATGAATGTGCTTCCACCCACCCAGTAGGCTAAGCCAGGCCTTGTGAGTTGTTCTTGACTCCAGCCACCTCTCTCCCTTCACTGGTTAATCTCCAGGTTCCATCATTTCTGCTATCTACATTTCTTGGTGTCTCTTTCTCTCCATCCCTACTGCTCTTCTTTCTCAATTGAATCCTGAATGATCCTGAAATAGTCTAGAATAGTGACTCAGTTTACTTGTTTCTCCTTTTAAGAAGCTTTCTCTGATCACTACCAGTACCCCTACTCCACCTTGTGGGTACTCTACCTCAGGGAACCCTTCGCAGCACTGATCTCATCTGCCTTTACTTTCTGGTGGAATATTTGTCTTATGCTTGTTTCCAGAGAGCAGGAGCCCCAGTTTATAGCTTTGGCATATAGTAGTACCTGTTGTAATAAACTAGCTTTCTGAATAAATAAATGGATGACGGGAGGCTTCACTGTGTGAACTGGAAAAGACAGAAGTAGAGTTTATGATCATTATCCCAATGTCTTGCTTTTTGAAAGGAACTTGTTCTCAGAGGAAATGTCCCAGGAAACATCTGAGATGAATTGCCATATTGGAGTTATACTGACTGTGATGGTGCACAAGGCAATCTTCCTCCACTGAACTTCAAAGACTGAAAACTATAGCCTTTCTCCCTGACAGGGGGAAAGAGCACTATAAAGACAAAGACTCCTGGACCAGGCATTTAGCTCAGTGGCTCTGCTGCCTGCTTCGCAAGCGCAAGGACCTGAGTTCGATCACTGGCACCAAAAAAAGAAAAAAGAAAAAAAAAAAAAAGAAGACAAGGACTCCTTAGGGAGCAAAGGTGAAACGTTTAGGTTCCAGGGGTTTTGAGTGGCCTGTTGGGGGTCTGATCTGTTTTATCTTAGATTCTCTTGTCTTCTCCTTGTTGAATACAAGATGGCTCCTGTGGCATCAAGTCCTCACCCAAACAGGAAGGGGAGGACTTTTTTTTAACTATGAAATAAAATAATTCTCACCATAATTTAACTGACTTCTCTTACCTATTACAAGCCAGAGAAGCTAAGGAGAGATATGATCCAAAAACCTAGCAAAGAAGGTTAGGATGGCCATGACTAGCTTAGACAATCATGGTTCCTCTCCAGGGGGTGGACATACTACTGCCCCTATTCAAAACCAAGAAAGAGAACTGAAAATGGCTGTTATGCAGTCGGCTGCAAACCTCCTTCATTTTTCTGGGGTTAAAATGCAGAATATTGGGTTTGAGCTTATAGCTAAGTGGTACAGCCTTGCTTAGTTAAAAAAAAAAAAAAAAAGAACTTTGAAAGGAAACAAGCCTTTTCTTGGCCTTGAATCTTGAGCATATCTCTTCACCTCACTCCCAATTTTACTTTCACTATTTGGAATAAGATCACTTTAGCTTAAGGTTATCTGATAAGAATTCCTAAAACTATTTTCTACGCAGGGACAGTTATGTTCCATTTTCCATTTCCATTGCATTTTTGCTTAGAAGAGCTCAAAATGTTATCCCATTCTCCTTGGAAAGGTTCTTTGCATTTACAGATATTCAAGATAATCTGTGACCTTTTAGAGAAGACAATAAGCCATTAGAGAATTATAAATAGCCTTGCCTAAATTGTTGCTACTTGTGTTCTGCTGTTTTGTTTTAGATTTCTTTGTGTCCAGAGTTACATAAAACTGTGGTGCAACCAATATAATACAGGCATACTGAAGTGGTTTTAAAAAGATAATAGAGAAGAGTAGGCATAGATAGAAATACACAAATCTGTGGGTGTTTAGAATGAGCGTGAAGGGCAGAATTTGATAAAACACAAATTATATCAGACAGGAAGTTATTAACTCTTTATCAGCCAAATAAGAGTTTGAATTCTAGAATGTGGGCAAAATTTGCCAAGGGCCCTCTAGTCCGTGAACATTCCCTCAACCTACTGCCCAGTCCTCGAATATTCAATTTACTGATGTCTCAGAGGCTCTGCCTTTAATCTGCTCTCCCCAGAATAGGAATCATGCTTCTGCCCTCTACCAGATCCCTGTATTATTTCAGTTCAATAGTCAGAATTATTGAAAATCTCCTCTCTTTAAGGTTCTTTGGTAAGAGTACAGAACACAAAGAACAGCTATTACCAGACATTCACTGAGAGGATAGTAAAGTATCAGACATGCCTGCCTGCCTTCTCTGACACACTTGTAGTGGAGGAATTAATTATCATTTGTAAATAATTGCTGAATTTACTAAAAATATTCTCAAATAGTATCTTAATTCTTACTTAATGTCTAAGTCTTTATTAATCCTGTAAAATGGGTTTTAAACATCTTCTAAATTGAGGTTCAGGTAAACACAGTAATTTATCTAAAGTAACAGAGTAGTGGAGACCCCAAGCTCTCTGATTACAAATCTTGGCCCTTCCCACCAGTGTGAGGAGCACAATGAACACTCTGGTCACCTACATGAAGGACAAAGGACAGGTCAAGTGCAGGCTCCAAAAAGCCTGCAACAGGAAGAGTTAAATCTGAGGTGGGGAAAGCTTTCTACAAACGCTACCAGGAGAAGCAAACTGCTCTCTGGAGCCTGAGTAGTGTGTGATAGGAGGAGCTGTAGGGAGAGGGAGTATATGAAGTACAGAGAACAAGATGTGCAAAATCACAGGGCAGGAAGCACATGGCAAGCTTCAGGAAAGTTGAGTAGTCTCATGGTGGGAGGAAGTGGTGGAGATCCAAAAAGTTGGTTGAGTCTTTGGCCATATCACACTGAACATGCCCAATCTTGTCTGATCTTGGAAGCTAAGCAGGGTCAGGCCTGGTTAGTATTTGGATGGAGGGAAACCAAAAAGTTGGTTGACAACTAGCATTTGGATGGCAGCATGTGCCAAGCTAAGGAATTTCGGTGGTGGTGGGGTTTGAGACAGGGTCTCACTATATATTTTAGGCTGCTTTTGAACTCACTATGTGGCCCAGGCTGGCCTCAAACTTGTGGCAATCCTCCTGTGCCAACATTACAGGCATACACCACTATGCCTGGCGAGGCTAAGGAATTTCCAGGAGGCTATGGAAAAGGTTGTTCTTGTGGAGAGTAGGTAGCTCCTACTGGGGCCAACAGTGTCTGTGCTAGGAGTTTACGAATGACAGGATACAGTCTCTATTCTCAATGATTTTAAGTGTTAAGATTTAATTGCTCATCTTTCATGAGCAGTTCTCTTCCTTCTCAAGTGGATCAAAAATTAAAATCCAGTTGCATCTTCCCTTAGCCACCACCTCATTAAAGAGTACCCCATTGGAATTCTTTCCCAAGCTACGCAATTTCCATAAATTCTAATCTTGTTGAAAAAGTATGTCTGAGAGCAATTTCTCTATGCCTTTTCCATTAGTGGCTTTGTGAGATGGCCTGTCCGGTGCTCACTTATTACACATTCTCACTGTTTGAAAAGAATCACAACACTGAACCTCAGCTGCTTATTCACTCCTCAGTACACATTTCCCAGGTCAGTATAACAGCTACAGATGCTGCCTCACTGTTACTATTCATAACCTTAGTGTCTAACAGAATCTGTGCAAGTTTTCTGCGTGCATAATACCATTTTCTTCCCTTAAGGAGTGCTGGATATGAAGAAATATGGCATAAATGCTCATATTCTAAGTAAATCAAGTCCAGTTTCAAATTACTTTTCTTGCGCTCAGAAAAGAATAAACCTGTCTTATTTAAATTTTAGCAATTTTACTGCAAAATTTTAGCAACTGTTTATAACATTTTCCCATTCCAGTACAGAGAAATTGTTAATATCATCCTAGCAGGAATATGGAAGAGACATGAACTTGAGTATTTTGTTTTTGCCACAACATTCAAAGGAAGACTTCAAAAGATAATTTTGGATATGGGTTCAACTGAACAAAAACAGAAGGTGACTGACTAGTTCAGAAAAGACAGAATTAAAAAGTTCATAGTTATGGCTCTTATTAACTTTAAGAAAGGTCAAAACATTTCATAGTATTTTTCTTTTCACTGACAAGTGTAAGAAAAGAGAATTGTATGATAAAGGGTGAATTTATAAATTCACAATGTGTGGGGGTTGCTCATTATTTAAAAAGAGCTGCATTTCAAGGCAGACCCATAATTTTATCAGTGCACATACAAATAAACTACTTTAAGCTTAAATTTCTATTGAATTCATCTCTTCACTTAATGAACCTTCTAAAACTATAGGACACCCACATGGAGCTGCCCAAGAGGAAGTTGGAACTACCAATCTGGAGCTTCAGAGATTGTGAGCTTAAGCATGTTAGAGAAGCGTTCTCAAGCTTCAGCATGCATCTTAATTATCTAGAGAGCTTGTTAAAGATGGAGTGGAGGGCCTCCACCCCAGAATTTCAGATTCAGTAGGTTTGTTTTGTTTTGCAGTGCTGGGGACAGAACCCAGGGCCTCCTATATGCTAAGCAAACCCTCTACTACTGAGCTACATCCCCAGCCCGAGGTTTGTTTTTTTTTTTTTTAACAAGTTCCTAGATGATGCTACTGTTGCTGGCCAGGGGACCACACTCTGAGAGACACTGGTTTAGATTACACAGGAAGAACTTAAGAGAGAAGCAAGTGACAAATGTGGAATATCAAGGAGTCAGGTAGGTGAAGAGCCTCAGAGAAGATAACATTAGTCTCTGGAAAGAAGGAAATTGGTTGGCCCTGCCAAATATCAAGATAACAAATTAAAATAGAAAGAGGACTCTACATTTATTAAATGACCAAGTTTTTGGCAACCTTTGAGGATACAGTTGCATCAGAACAGTGGAGGTGGAAGCCAGATTTTCAGTGGGCGACCAGGAAATGCAGCTATCAACGGGACCAGAAAGGCACAGGAAAAGACAGCCTGGTTAATGTGTTAGGTTTTCAAGTCTATAGGCTAAAGTCAAGGAAGAAGTGGAATGGAGTCAGGATACAAGAAAAATGAGGAACAATCTGGACGTCAAGAAGCAGCATCTATACCCAGGCATGGTGGCACACATCTGTAATCCCAGCAATCCCAACACCCTCAGAGGTTAAGGCAGGAGGATCACAGATTCCAGCCCAGCCTGGGCAACTCAGTGAGATTCTGTCTCAAAAAATGAAAAGGGCTGGGATGTAGCATAGTGTGAAGTTCCAGGGTTCAATACTGAGTACTGCCAAAAAAGGTGGGTGGGGTAGAAACAAGAGCTCTGTCAATACCAGCTCTCCCTTTGTTCTTTCACACTCCTTGATAAACTTTTGCCTTGTGGGAGTCTTTCTGCTCCTCCTACATTGTCACCTCCTTAAGAATAGAGTTCTATGGTGCTACCTTTATCCTCCTTCCTCAGTAGAATAGGTTCCAGCAAACATTCCCTAATTTAATAAAGATCTATAGATACAAGTTGTTTAAAAACTTAGACTCTCTCAATAAAACAAATTGGGTATCAATATGTATCACAGAGAGTAATAAAGGCACAGAAATTAATGAAGTTTGTTCAAAGAAAAGGGGACAAACCATGGGGATCTATGAAGGAAAAGCCTTCCAGACAGAGAAAACATTCAATGCAAAAAGTCTGAAACAAGAATGTGCTTGGCATATATCAAAGGCACAGCAAGGAACCTGTGATTGAATCCAACTTTGAGGCTGGCAGTAGTCAAAATCAGAAAGGTATCCACAGCCCAGACGACAGAACATTTTGTAGGCCAGGGTCACTGTCAGGACAGAGATGATATTCCAAACTGTGAGGCTAAATATCACCCAGAGAATAAAGGTACTTTAACACTGGAAGGCTAGAAAGAGATCCTGTAAAGACTGCAAAGGAGATAAAAGGAAACCAGGAAAGTGTTCAAATTCAGAAACAGAAAAATGTAACATTTTCCTCTCACCAAATTACCGAAGACTGTATAAGAAATAACTGCTGCTGAGGAGAGTGCTATGAAGCCACCAGTCTCAAGCATTGCAGACTGGAGTGCAAAGTGGTACAAGCTTTTAAGAAATCAGTTTATCAAAATGAATCAAGAATCTGGAAAATGAGGGAGGACCCCAGAGGGCAGGGAGATGGAGAAGGGGATAGGGGAGGCAGGCTCTGTTGGGCCGGGGCGGGCAGTGTCAAGGAAGTGGGGAGCATCCCATCTGGTCAAGGGAGTTGCAACAGCAGGGTCAAGGAGGTGTGGTGTCGGGTGTAAGGGTGGTGAGTCCTAGGGCTTCAACCCGCCCGAGAACAATCTCCCAGGAGGAGGGCCGAGGCCCAAGGGCTTCCTTGCCCGTGGAGCTGGAACACTGGATTGTACACTTTCCTCCTGGCCAGCTCCGTGGGTAGTGTGAGGCACGTGCATGCACATGCACGTGCCCCAGAAAATGGTGCCGCCATTGGCGGAAAGGGCGGGGGCTGGAAGCAGTGGGCCTGTCTGTTCAAGTCTGGCCTTGACTGGAACACTGTCCAGGTACCGGGGCTGCGGGGGCAGTCACTGTGGAGGAGTGCAGGGCTGACTCAATGGGAGGGGTGCTGCCCTGCCAGCTCACAGAGGAGCTGAACCCAACAAGGTTTCAAGAGTGGACCGGCTGCGTCCAGAAAGAGGCCCTTGCCTAAGGGTGTGGCCAAGTTCCACCTGACCTGACCAGGCCCCACCCCTTCCGCCAAATTAACCCCACATTTCTGAGCACAGGCGCGGGGCGGTCACGTGCTTTACACTTCCCACCCAGTGTTCCAGCTGTGAAGGTGGGGAACAGCCTTCTGACTTTGGCCCTGAGAGATGGTTCTTCGGTCGGTAGGGGCTGAGGACTGGCCATTTTTGCCCTCCACTCCACACCACTCACCCTGCTACTGCTCCACTCTCCAACTCCCTTGGTCTAGCGGGGCCTTCCCCTGACTCCTGTGACCCAGCCTGGCCCCTCCCCCTCCTCTTCCTGTGACCTGACCTAGCTGACCACACTTCCCCTTCCCCCCAATACTTCTATCAATCTTTTCCCGTCTTTTCTCCCCTACCCCTCCTTCATCTCTTCCTGTCCACTTTCACCCTCCTCTCCCTCCCCTAATCCTCCCTGCTTGTACATCTCTTAAGATCTGTTCTGCCCCCGCAACCTTCATTCCTTTGTGACTGGTGTTGGGTGGCGGCTGTGTATGTTTCTGTAGTGTGCAAACCATAATGAAGTGTAATTTTTCCTCCTGCTAAGCCTAAGGAGCATCAGGTTGCAGCCTTGTCTTTGTCCTTAGAGCCAGTCACTTAGTGGTTTGGGGCCTGAGGACTCACCCACTGCTTCACCACTCTAGACCACCATCCTCCAGGACTCCAGACACCTAGCACTGGAGGCCCCTACCTGGGACATGTGGCCGCCACACACCAGGACTCAAGGCTGCTGCCTAGGACTCCCGACACCCACCCAGGATACCCAGCTGGCCATGCCCAAGGCCTTCCTGCAACTCGAGCAGCAGAATTTAAGGGGCCCAGGAGTCAACTGTGGGACATGCTTTGGACAGAGCACCCTCCCCAAGAGGACCCTGGAAGCCTGGAGTGCCCCAGAGGAAGTGCACACAGGATGGAGGTGATGAACTGTGTATGATGCAATATTTGAAGCATTCTGCTTTCTTACCCCAGGGAATTCTTCACAAGTGGAGCAGAGCCAAACAGATTAATTGAGCCCCATAGCCAGTGCCTTAAAAACCGTCACTGGAAAAAACCCAGGATCCCCACAGAATCGTAATTTCCCAGCCATGAACCCAAGGTCACCTGGGGAACCTAAGGCAGTATTTTCTGTAGTCACTCATCAGATTCCTGATATTCAAAAGCCAAAGGGTATTCTTAAGTGAGGAACTGAGAACTTGCTGGAACATTCTAGAAAAATGGCTCCACCCCATTACCTCACTCTTTTCCAACTCCTTTGGTTTCTCTTAAACATGAAAAGCCACTGGCTTCTGCGGGCAGTAAAATCTGAGGGGAGAGAAGACTTTGTGAAAAGGTAAAAAGCACTTCAAAACATATGAAGGCAGTAGGCCACCTGTCATCTGTTGGAGACTGGACTACGGACTTTTCTGGTGAATAAATTGTGGATATGGTTGCTCCATGTATTTATCAGGGGTCAGGAGGCATGTTTTCTGAATGATGGTAAAGACAGTGGCAGTAGGATGTCCCCCAGCCATGCTCCGCAAACCAACCTGACCCTGTGTCACCTGAAAGCCCACAAAGTCTGCTGGTCAGGAGGACAACAGAGTCGAGAGACCAGAATAGGGCCCTGTTGGTGGGACCCTAGGAGTTGAGACAGTCTCATGACTGTACAGATCGATGTTGGGAACATGTTCAGGATAGGAAGAACCTGAATGTAAATCAGACCACGTTAATGATGATGAGCATAGTGTCTCTAAGAGTCTCAGCAGAAAATGTCACTTCCTACAAAGATTTTCACCATGTTTTCCTCATGGACTAAAAGCTGCAACAAAGAAAGGAGGATTATATTCTACTGTGCTGGAAAACATGTCTTTGCTTTTAGACAAGAATTACTGTCAAGAGACTTGTGTCAGTGATAAAATGTTTTTTGTAGAGCTTTTCCTCATCTTGAAAATGTGAGTGGCCACAGTATCTAACTCATAAATTTCTGCAAAATATAAGTGGTTGCTGCATTTTCACCGAAGTTAAGAGTTAAGAAATTTGACTCAAGTAAACGGACATCTGAAATGAAGACATTTCTCAGATAAAGAAGTAAAAGCGGCAAATAAACATATGAAAAAATGTTCATCACTGGTCATTCGAGAGATGTGGATGAAAACAACACTGAGATTCCACCTCACCCCAGGAAAAATGGCTGCTATCAAGAAATCAACCAGTAAGAAATGCTGGCGGGGTTGTAGGGAGAAAGGAACCCTTCCTCGTTGTTGGTGGGAGTGCAGACTGTTGCAACCAACTACTGTGGAAATCAGTATGGAGATACCTCAAAAAACTAGGATTAGAGGTCCCATTTGACCCAGCTATTCCTCTGCTGGGTGTCTTCCCAAAAGAATTAAAAGAATCATACCACAGTGATATATGTGCACGCATGTTTATAGCAGCGCAGTTTGTAATAGCTAAATTGTGGAAACAGCCCAACTGCCCATCAACTGGACACTGGATAAACAAGATGTGTTTGTTTTTTTTTTAAATGGAGTACTACTCCGCCCTAAAGAGCAAGAAACTTGAGACATTTATAGCTAAATGGATGCACATTGAGGCCATACTCTTTAAGTGAAATAAGACACACATGTGTAAATACCGAATAGTTTCTCTGGTGTGAAAAACTAAGTGTAAATAAAGATTAAAATGTTTAATTGAAAATGTGAAATAGGAAGAAAAGGTCTAAAGGAATAGGGGAAGCGGGATGGGTAGGGGAAAGGAAAGAAGGGAAAAGAAAAAATATGAGAAAAGAAAAAAATGGAACGTCTTTGTAAATAGGGAAGGGTAGAGGGGGTGAAGGGAGGGCAGGGGAATGGGGAAAAAAAGAAAGAAGATTAAAAAAAATGAAGATGGATCATATAAAGGTACAAGATCCCAATGATGAATGTAACTATTGTATACCCAAAATGTACCAATAAACTTAATGGGAAAAAAACGAATCTGGAAAACATATTCTTTAACAGAGATTTGCTTGTGAGGAATGTATCTTTAAAGATTAACTCAAAACACTAAAAAAATTAATGCATATTCATGGTATTGCCATTAATGGCTTTTTGGAAAATTACTGTGCTAGCAAATGGAATTTTCATTTTCTAAATATCTGCTACGGTTCCCCCAAGGCCATTCTCACTCTTCCCTTTCTCAATGTCCAGCTTAATCAGCTGTCCTGAATTGAGGTATTACATCCCCATTTCCTCTCTGACAGTCACAATACTTTTTACCAGGTTGTAGTAAAACAGAACCAGACTGTGCAATAAAGGCCTCTAGGAATATGCTTTAGTCCTCTATCGTTGTTACAGACAGCTAAGCTAGGCAGAAATATTACAGGCTGTCCGACAGGGCTAGGCTTTGAGTCAGGACAAAGGCAAACATATTACAATGACTGGAGGTGCATCTACTGGAGGCCAAGCCTCAAGATAAAGATGAAAGGACCAGGCCTAAGTGGTAACACGTGTTCTAATGAAGTCTAGATAGACATCAGTCACTTCCATGGGTGAAAAAGATCCTCACTCATCCCTTCCTGAAAAGTTCTTTAGTCCTTCCATGTATGGTTACTTCCCTCATTGTATCAATGCTACTAAGCGACTGTATCTTATTGATCATGGCTGTAACCTACCTTGTACTCGTGGTTGTGCTCTGTAAAACTTCCCCATAAGTGGGGTCCTTGGTCACTTTTGGGTCCCCTCCCGCCTCTCTGAGGAGCTGTATTTTTCCCCTCAATAAATATTTCCTACTCTTAACTGGTGTTGTTCCTTAATTCATTCTTTGATTTTGGGGAACACAAACTTGGCATGTCAGACATCTAGCAAGTTGTTATATTTCCCCTCTATCATTTAGAGGTCCAGTATCAATTCCTATATCAATATTACTGACCAGGAGACAGGTGAGGGTTACAAGACTTGCTGGGGAACGAAAGAATGGCTGAGTTCCCCCACCAAATGGGAGGATTAGCAATCCCAACTATTCACAAGCAAAACTTACCTGGCCCTCAAATTTCAGAGAAACATTAGTTTTGTAAACTCCATAGGAAAACAAAGTTGAACGTATAGAAATCAGAATGTAGATGTTTATTTTTTGAAGAGCAGAACTTTTTATTGTATCAGGCACTAGGAGTGTAAAGTTTAGCATGACAATCCTTATATACAGCTATAGTGGGAAAGTATTTTTTGTTTTTCAGCACTGGAGTTTAAACTGAGGGACTCTGGAGGTACATTCCCAGACCTTATGTTCTGAGACAAGGTCTTGCTAAGTCACTAAGTTGCCCAGGCTGGGCTTGAACCTGCAATCCTCCTGCCTCAGCCTCCCACAGTGACAGGTGTGCATCACCACCCTCAGCATAGATATTAAGTTTTAAAAAAAATAAAACACTGGTGGTTGTGAGTATAATTCAGTAGAAGAGCTCTTGCCTAGCATTTAGGATAAGGCCCTGGGTTCTGTTCCCCAGCACTACAAAAAAAATAACAATAAAAAAAAATACATACCAACAGAAGCAAACACATCTGTCATGGGAACAATTATGTGGGAAACTCTTGAAGGAATCTGTCTCCTCTCTGATCATAAGCACTGTATTCATTCCTCTCCTTACAATAAGGCAATGTATCACCTATGAGACAACACTTAAGCTGTTAGATGCTGAAGGACAAATAGGAATTTCATCAACTGAACCAAGGAATGTACAGCCATTTCAAGCAAAGCCAAGTATATCTGCAAAAAAACTGGAAAAACTATAAATTTTTCCTAACAGCTAAAACATAAGGAAAATGTAACAAAATGAAAGGAAAAACAATTTAGTAGGAGCTAAATACAGGGTCAAATATGTGATGGTATTAACAATTGCATACATTTTAAATATGTATAATTCTTTGCATATCAACTATACCTCAACAAACCTATGTAAAAAAAGACCACCCACCCCCCCTATAAACTACCTATTGGTCAAGTCTCCACTAGACAGTCAAGACTGCCTAAGGTGATGTAACCTTTTAATCTATCTGCCTCATTCTCTCTCAAAGATTTAGAAAACAGTGTTTTACTTTTGATTACCAGTTTGGCTAACAATGTTTCCTTCAAAAAGACATGATCTTACAAATAAAATCAACTGTATCTTGAGCTTTTGAAATTCATACAGGAGTAAAAACACAAGTTCCCTGGGGAAAGTAAGATTGCACGCTCTTAAAGGGTGGCTACTCCAGTCCAATTTACCTTCTGGGCTCTCTCCAGATGGCAGCCAACTGCCATGGAGCTGTGATCCTACAGGACACTCTAGGAGCATAAGGAATCAATCAGAATCATAGGGATGCCCTGATTCTGTTTTTTCCAGAATGTGGGACTGCCAAGTCAAAATCTCTTACTCCTTTGGAATTTTTTTTTTTTTTTTTTCAGTACTGGGGATTGAACTCTGGACCTTGTGCTTGGGAGGCAGGCACCAAAACCACTCAGCTAAATCCCCAGCCCTGGAATATATTCTTAAACACTGGCAGAAGTTCGATCCTCACATACTGAGAACCTAACATTCTTCTGCACCCGGGCATGGCCTGCCTATCCTCTAGAGCCAGGATGAAATGCAGAAGGAAGTATTAATTATGACGCCATTTCACAACTAGGATTATATTGTAAAAAAGAGGAAAGATGGTCAGAATTGCCTTATGTCCAGATCTTTCTTCTTGCATTGAGATAATCCTGATTTGTGTTCCAAGTGTAAATATATGCTGCAGGAAGATGAGACTCCTCCAGTCCTTAGCACTAAACCTGAGGTTTTCCACCCTCGCCTTTTGGACCATGAGGACAAAGTTTCTGAGGCAATCCCAGTGAAAGCTCTACCTACCTCCAAACTTGAAGTTTTTCCCACTTGCCCTTTAGAGCCTGAGATCCCTCCCCCTTATCCTTTAGAATCTAAGGGTGAAATTCCCAAGCCAGCTGTAGTTAAAACCTCTACAGAACTATATCCATCCATAGCTAATTTTGTTCAAACCCCTTAAAGACAATATCCCTTGCAGGAAGTAAATGGCAAATATGGGACTACCTATGTTTATGTGTCTTTTTCTCTCAGTGATCTAAGACAGGTCAAATGAGATCTAAAAGTTTTCAGATGACCCTGATATGTACACTGAGGTCTTTGAAGAACTTACTCAGATCTATGGACTAGAGTAGAAAGATATAACGTTGCTCTTAAATCAAACATTGAGAGACAAATAGTATTACAAGCTGTACTACATAGAGACACATATTATCTTTATTTTGGAAGCTCAGAAGACAGGCAGCCAAGGGAACTGGTTCCTACTAGAATACAAGTGGTTTCTATACAAGCCCCAACTGGGCTGTCAATCAGATAGATTAAAACAGAAGACATTTTCAGGCATGTAATCTGAAAGATCTAAGAAAGATGAGAACTGAGCCCTTCAATTATTTTAAATTGTCAACTATTTATCAGGAAAATGATAAGGACATCCCTAGATCCTGATTTGATAAAAGGAAATACTATAGTTTTTCCAAAGTCACAGTCTTGCAGTATGTAGATGGTATGTTATGTGCCCCCTCAGAAGAGCGTTCTAGCCAAGACATCTGCTCTGCTGAATTTTCTAACAGAGGTTATAATGTTTCTAGATCTAAGGCATAACTTTGCGGCCTTGAGGTAAAATATTTAGGCCTTATATCTAAGGGAACCCAAAGACTGGGGAAAAAAAGAATTAAATCGATTCTTTCCTTTCCACAGCCCAAGACTCTACAGCTAAGGAGATTTCTAGAAATTACAGGCTTTTGTCACCTTTAGATAACAGGATATAGTGAGATTGTGTGACCCATCTACCAGCTTATAGAAAAGCCCAAAAGACAGCCATATTTTAACCTGGGAACCTAGTTCCCAGATGGCATTCCAGAAGCTCAAACAAGCACTTCTAAGTGCCTACCTACAGGACACCATTTCAGTCTGTATGTTAATAAAAGGTGAAACGTGGCTTTGTGAGTGTTTCTACAACATCAGGGAGCTGCTCAACAGCCTGCAGGGTATTTAAGTCGTAAGTTAGATATTATAGATTCAAAATAATTTACTTTAGAAAGCCCTAAACAATATAATTAGAATACCTTTATTCTCTTTCAAGAGGCAGAAGCAGCCATTCAGGTTCTTTGATTATTGGTTTGATTTTTCTGCTTGCTAATTCAGTTGGAGTCAATCATAGCTTTTGTGGGCTGGGGACTTGGCTCAGCGGTGCTGCTACCTGCCTCACAAGTGCAAAGTCCCGAGTTCGATCCCCATGTCAAAAAAAAAAAAAATCATAGGAAAAAAAACATGTCTAGAGACATGTTTTGGTAAGGATTGCAGATCCACTCTGGAAAAGCTCCTGATCCTAAATGTCCTTCTACACCTGAGATTTTGCTCTTATACTATACTTAAAGGCACTCTTCTGTCCCTTCTCCATTGCCCTGACCCTGAGAAGTAACACATTTGTCAACAGTGTTTGGTTCGAGGCACTTCCCTCTTCTGTGGCTGCTAGATTTCAAGACAAAGCTTCCAGAATGGTGAGTCTCCCCTCCTTGGAATCCCTCCAGAGTAAAGCTGACCTTCATTTATCTGTGGGCCATACAGAAAACTGGTCGAGGTTTAATCCTGAAACTCTCAAGAAATAAATGTATAGTTTTAGTCCAGATTTATCTGCCTTTCAGCCCTTAGACAAAATTAGAGAATGGTAAGAACAACAGCTAACCTGGCTCTGGCCACTTCCTTGCACCTCTAGTCAGCTGCCACTGGCACTGGATGAGATAAAGTCTAACGGACACCTTAGATTGGGCACAGAACAAGAGGGATAGACAAGGATGCCTTCTTTTCCTGTTTTTTTCAAACTGGAAAAAACTTTCCTAGGTAGACATCTGCAGCACAGCAGGTTAGAGCCTTGACAGACCTTCTTCCCTCACTGTTTAGAATTCCTATTTAGCTCCAGAGTGTCACCTCGTCTCTTCTATACCCAAACTTGGCCTGAGCGCACTCCCCTGAAGATATTTAGCAGTTTGTCCCTTTAGAGGAAATAATTACATGTGGCTATCGAACAACTGTGGCTATAAAAACAATGAGAAGCCTGTGTAGCTGGGTATTCCAGTCAGATAAGCTGCCAGCATAAGGCTTGTCTTAAAATTACCTTTGCTTTCACAGGTGTAGATTTTTATTCCTTTTAATTCTTACTGCAAGAGATCTCTGTTAATCTAAGAAGTTCTGACTAGTCTTATTTATAAACCTAAAAATTATAGAAATTGTAATTCAACTTGGCCAAATACATCTGAGTGTACTCGTTTATAAACAAGTTGTCTTGTGTCTGTTCAATTTGTTAAAATGTGTACAGCTCTTATGTTTGAGTTTTTTTCTTTTGGCCTTTTGGATTTTTTAAGATGTCTGCTTGTAACTCAAGTTGGCTTACAGATATATAATTAAAGACATCCTTCCCCCAGACTGCCAGATGATCCAAATAATGTCAACTGGTTTTACAAATATAGTACATATTGTTGTCTATGTATAAAATCTTTCATTGATCAAACTAATGTGTTGTTATGATCTGGCTCTCATAGGTCATCTAAATATTTAAGATAATTAAAGACTCTTGGGCTTAGGAAAACTACCAGACAGGACTCCCCTTGGTAAATAAAGGAGCGGCTGCCTGGAAAAATTTACTCCAGCCTTTGTTCACAAAGGGGACCCCGGTAATTTCCACAGCCTCCTGGGAAAAACATTGCTAAACATAATACTGTGATATGTATACACTGGTCATGGTCTAAGTTTTCTGTGGGAAAACAAGGTTTTAAAATGTTCTTGGTACAAAACTAAATTAACGGACAAAGGTTTTCATGTAACTGATACTCATTGTTATTTCATAGTATATACATCCATGCCTTCTAGGTGTACAGGTCTAAGATTTTATAATGATTTTTTTTTCACTCAGGTATGTCTTTCCCTAGCACTCCAGCTACTTGTGATAAGAGGTAAGTCAAGCCAAAATGAGATAATCAGTCCAATAGTAGGCTTCTTAAAAACTTATGTGATGTATATGCCACCACACTTAGGGATGTTGTCACCAGTTGAAACATCACACATTAAAATTAGAGGCTAGACATTATGAACTCCGAATGTACATTTATAGGCCAATATGTATGTTCCCTTTAGATGGCATCCTACTAAAGGATAACAAATAAAGTTTTCTTTGTCATTTAATGTCTTGTGATCAGATGGAAGTGTTTGACTAAGACTATTCCATACTAAGATGGACATGTGTTACAAAGAAAATGTCATCATGATTGTCAAGCTAAAATACTATGTGTAGCTCTTGATCTTAAGTTTCTCTGTAATATATAACTGTTGTCAACATTCTGCAGAGATTCAGCTACTAAAACCATGGTTGGTAAGAAATAACAGCCCTCTAACTGTGCTTTATACTTCAAAAGTGCTTGATTTTTTAACTATTATAATAGTTAAACTCACTGCTCCAACTGAAATACTTATGTCACTGATCTTCTCCTCTGGGTGTTCAACATCTAAAGTTTGGAGACCAAAACTAGAAAGGTAACTGGGCTATAAGGACAGGCAGTATTTTGGCCCTGGCCCCTCAAGGTCAACAAAAATCCAGGACACAAAGGAACCTTTCCTACAGGATCCTGTATCTTTGGTTAAGTCACTCAACCTCCTGACCAGGGAGACTGCCGGGCACCAGAGGACAAAGAAGGATGTCTCCCATGCTTTCACTGAAAGCAACATGGTCAAGCAAGGCCGTGACCCATCCTGATGGGTGACACTGATAAAGGAGCTGAGAGGCTGTATGCATGGTTCCAAAGTAATGCCTAAGGGGACTTAACTGACCTTGATAGACAGCAAGAGGTTCATATTAATCGATACAGGTCTCACTTTAATTTGGTCTTAAAACACCTAGCAGAAAATAACCAAAAGATGTATAAAATAATGCCACAGTAATAAAGGTAGATATAAAGGGGCTTCAGTCACTGACCCCTCCCCCCCCCCGGCAGTTTCTAGCTACACCAGTAGCTGACCAGTTATGCATCATTCGGAAAAAACTATTGTAGAATCTAGAAGAGCCAGCAGGTTACAATCACTATTCCAATTTCTAAGTGTGACTTTCTTCCCAACCTGCCCTTCCATTCTAGTGTGCTCATGCTTAGATTATACACGCTCTAATTTCTTATAAGGTTTTGTTTATTCTTGCCTAGAGGCTGCCATACTGCAGATCATACAAATGGAGCCAACGACAAAAGTGCTAGGATGCTTTTACCAGGATCCACCAGACCATTACTTCTGTGATGGATTCTGAACTTCCCTGGGGCTTCTCCTTATCCTCCCTATGAAAGGCTATTACTAGCTCTTCCAGGCAGAAACATCTGTGATACTCATATTTGATTTGTTTGGCCCACGTATTTACCTGTCTTTCTGGCCTAGTCTCCTCCAAACTTAAAGCTATACGCCTACCCATGATGGAAATGCGTGATGCCTATCAAGGACCTTTAGATAGACCTCCTGAAGGGTATCCCTGACTGCCAACCACAACCTTCAGCCTGAAGTAGCTCGAGCAGTCATGGCCCCCTACCCCCTCATGGCAGTTCGGGATACTTCAGAGGGGAATATTATAGATGAGCTAGGTAGAAATATTATAGGCAGTCAGATAAGGCTAAGTCCTGGAGGAGGCTAGGACAAAGGTGAAACAAACCACAGCACCACAATTAGACTTTCTGGCAGTATGCACACAAAGGGATAGACCAACCTACACCAAGGGGATTTGCTGGAAGGTTATTGGGGGCTCTTGGTATTGTAGACAGCTAAGTTAGTTATAATTATTACAGCTGGTTATACAGGGCTGGGCCTTTGGCACAGAGGACAATTGTGGCCCAAGGCACATTCACTGAAGGCCAGAACTGTAAAAGGAGAAAAACTACACACCTCATGCTTCCCCTGGTGCAGTGATTGATATTCTAAACAGGTACCGATCATCCGGGTGGGGGGTCAAGGTCTTAACCCATCTTCTCCAGGAAATATCCCTGACCCTCAACCTTACTGAAAACCCTTGCATGCTTGCTATGTGTCTTGCTTCCCAATTGGACCAACATTACCTACGTGACTATACTCATAACCTTACTGGATGTTCATGGCTGTGGCCCACATTGTACCCACATGGATTTCACCCTATACAACTTCTCTGTAAAGTGGGGTCTTTAGCTACCCACTCGGGACCCCTTCCTGCCCTTCAGAAGCTTTCCTATCAATATCTTCCTACTTTAAAAAAAAAAAAAAAAGACTGCCTAGGGGAAATCCCTGGCATGAAGATTGTGGATTCAGTCCCAGCTTTGCCAGTTTCTGGCAGGGTGACAATTTAGCCATTTTCCCCTTCTTTGCTTTTTCTTATGCATAAAATATAGTAGTTCCCAAATCTTAAAGCTGTCGCAAAAATCAAACAGCATACCCTTAGTAGGTAACATGGCCAAGAAATGTTAGTACTGTAATACTCACTGGTTAGTAATACACTACTAGAGAACCAGCCATTGCTGCAGGTTGCTCAGAGGTAAAATAAGCATAAAAATGACCTCTCATGGGGCTGTAGTACAGGAAAGGCTGACATCCTGCCCTGCCCAGAGCTGCTAACTTATGCTGCGTGTGTGGGAGTGGTAGCTGATACACCTGCCTGGTGGGCTGGGGCATACTGAAGTCAACCTGCTACACTAAAACAAAACAAAACAAAATCTCAAGATCAGTGTCATGTGGAGCTTCTACGCTACTCCAAGAGCATTTTTTCCCACTGCATGTATCAGAACTGTGGGTTTATTTATGACCAACCACATGGTCACTTTTAACATTTGAGACTGTTACTCTCTGTACCCCGAACCAAGGCAAAAGCTTATGGGCACAAGTTTTGTTTCAGCCACACTGGCTGTTTAATACATGTTTTAATGCCTCCATCCTTAAACCAGAGATGTTAGCTTACAGAACTAGAATTTGAAGCATTTCATTTAGATTTAGACGCTCCAAGAGTATTCTGCATTTGAGAAAGTATCCATTCCAACTAGTCTACAATCCAACTGCTCCCAATTTCTGAAGCTTAACAGAAACTGGCACTGAAGTTGTTGAAAAATCTCCAGAGAAAATGAATAAAGACCCAGAGACATTATGAAGCAGATCATGGTACCACAATGCTGGAAGGCAGATTCTGCAGATGTCACCTCAAGCGAAGAGCCCTGCAGGTTACTACCAACATGAATACCCTCTGAAGGGCCAAAGGAGAAAAAGCCAAGAATATCAAGACCAGGACCCTATTTTTCAAGGCAGTAAATCCAGTACTTGTCAGTGACCATAACGAGAAAAATAAAAGGTTAATTTACTCCTTTTGGAATGGTCACCTAAAGGGGGGGGGGGGGTCATTTTCTTTGGTACATTTAAGATATGAATTCAGTTGTTTGCTCTACATAAAGCTATTTTGAATGAGACCTTTACATATACCAATATATCAATAATTTACAAATCAGAAAACAGCAAAAATTACAAAACTAATTTGGGGAATATATTAAAGTGCTATTCATTGTATACAGAAATTAAAAGCTTAAAAAACACCCAGAGAAACTTCAACTTTACATAGTACTTAATGCTATAGTAAAGTATAGGAGAGGCCAATCATATATATCCTTAAAAACTAAATTAGTTGGAGTGATGATCTAGTTCTGAACTTCCAAAATACTCTAAAGCTGGGCGTGGGACACACACCTGTAATCCCAGCACTCAGGAGGCTGAGGCAATTCAAAGCATGAAACCCTATCTCAAAAACCCAATACTCTTAAGCAGTTGTGAAGGAAACTGAGGTTCTCATTTGGGAGATGATAATGAAAAGCTGACAGTTACTGAATATGACACCAGGTGCTTCTTAGTATTTCCATCTTATCGTCACTTACCACTCCTTTCTCAAATAAGAAAACTGGGCCACAGTTTAAGCAACTTTCAATATTAACAGAATAACCAGAGCCTGGAAACTGCTGTACAGAAAGGAGAAATGTGATTATAAATCTTGCATTTAGAAGCAGTGAAAAAAAAAGGAAGAATAAAATTCAAATATAATCATCTTATTTTCATTTCTGTAGTACTGGGGATTGAACCCAGGACCTTTACGCTGAGCTACATCTCAACCCTTTTTATTTTTTAATTTCAAAAAAAGGTCTTACATTAAGCCACCAAGGCCCCTAGGCTAGGCTTCAACTTGCAATCCTCCTGCCTCAGCCTCCCAGAGTGCTAGCATTATAGGCATGCCACCACCATCATGGCCCAGCCAATAATTGTAAATGCCAACTCTCCACTACTAGAATGTGAACTTAAAGACAGTTAATAACTACTGTCTATTATGTTAAGCATTCACTGAGATTCAAATCCAGGTTTGCCAGATTACAAATGCAATACTGTATCTACTTCCCATCCCACTTTACTAGAAAAAAATTCAAGGTGATTGATTAGAACCTTTTATTCACCCAAAGCATTTACTACTTGGGAATACAAAGATTGTCAAGATGAGCCCAGTACTGGACAGAACACTAAACACGGATACAAAAACATGGTAAATATAACCTAAGAAGGTAGCAACTGGGTACAATACACATAGAATATAAACAAAACAGACTTGAGGCAGGCTATAGTGAGGATTGTTTGAATGACAAAGGCTAAGGCGGTTTATAATTCGTTAGTCCCCTTAAAAAGGGTCTAGAGGGAAACTAGCCTATGCCTCATTCCAAACCCATCAATTTTCCCTCTTCCGACCAGGTGAGGATAGTACATGTACTGTGCCTCTGATGGAGAGCAACAAGGCATCATCTCTGAAGCGGGGGACTAGAACTTCAACAGACACCAAATTTGCCAGCACTCTGTTCTAAGATTTCCTAGCCTCTAGAACTGCAAACATTTAAGCTTCTATTGTTGGAGAGATTAAATAAAAGGGGGTGGGTTGTGGTATTATGTTTGAAACATGCACCAACTTCCCACGAGGACTGTAATCATTATGTACTACGAATACATGTTCTAATAATAAATTAAACAAAATGTCTAGTGTTTACATATTTTCCAAGGGCTTCAAGAAATGGTCAAAGCAATTCAGAACTAGAACATACATAAGGGTGCTTTTAAACAATTTATTTAACTGAAATGCCATACACTGACTTCCATTTATTTTGATACATCTTGTCCCCAAGGTGATTTAGAGGATCTTCAAGCCAATATAAACGTTTCATAAATATTTGGTCATTTGAGTATACATCTGCACAATACCTCACATCTTTCAGCAAGAAAAACACTGAAGTGTAAAGACCTGACACAATTAACTGGGTATAATGAGAATCTGCTCCAAATATTTGCTTCTCTGAGGTAAAGGCACCACACACCTGTTCAATTAAGAAAACCATCCTTACAACACAGGATGATTTTTAATTTTGAAGTAGGGATTAGGGCATTCAGCCGCTAATTAGGTGCTGTGTGGCAGAGCTACATCCCCAGCTTATGCCATGAATTCATAGGGAATAGGTTCCAACAACTCAGGCTCCTTCCCATTGGTTCTCACAAAGTGTGCTTCTCTGGGTGGGGCAGGCTGTTTAGGAAAAAAAAAAAAGTCATTATGTAAAGTACTAAAAATCAACATTTTAAAGTATTCTTTGAAGTAATGAAATTTATCAATTTTTAACCATCATTAAAAAAAATCAGTGAGCAAATTTTAGAGTTACCCAAAATTAATACCTTGATTAATACCAAGTCAAGGTCTCACCTGGCGCTTCAGTTGAACCCAGGTACCTTTCTCTTTGGCTTCCTTCTTTTTCTGATCATTTTCCTTGACCCGTTTCAGGAAGCTATCTCGACTCTTTGAGTGTTTAATATGCTCAATACGCACATTAATTCTCTTGGCAAGTATCTTGCCCCTGGAAAGAGCAAAAATTTTTAACAAATGCTTTAAGAAAAATAAAATGAAAATACAGAAAACTGCTGACAGTTTCATGTAGTAAATAAATTATCAATCTCTTACTCAGGATAAGGCAAGAGGGTAATGGCCTGATTGTATCATTAATTCTACTATAAGAGGCTTAGAACATCTCTATATCAAAGGCACTCTTCTGAGGTGAGAGTGTGAACACTAGTAATTTAACCAAAACCAGATCACCACTAAAATAATTCATGTTACAAAAAGAACTGCTTAATACCAAACTGTGTAAGACTTTTTCCAGCAAATCTACTTTAATCTGTTTCCTCTGACAGGCTGCAAGACAAACATTTAGTTTGCCTGAGTTTTAAAAGGATATTTCTTTTGCCCCACTTGAATGACCAATAAAGACATTAAGTCCAATTGGCAAAGTGAAAGGGGGTATATGAAGGAATACTAATTAGTCGCAAAGAACTGACATTACTTACTTAACTTGTTTGTTTACAACAATGCCAACAGCATGCTGGGTAACATTGTAGACTCTTCCAGTTTTGCCATGGTAACATTTGTGTGGCATTCCTTTTTGAACAGTACCCATTCCCTGGTTAAGGTCAGAGACAATGTTATTCCAGCAATCTCCTCTTCCTTTTACCGTAACTTTTAATAGTATGACTAAGATATTTTAAGATTTCCTTTAAATGGTAACTCAAGAGCTTTCAGAGCCGGTGAAATGTGTTTTTCACATTGCTTCAATCAATCACAAAGACAATCATCATTAAGCTCTGGAGTGTTAGGATTCAGTTAAACACTGGCCACAAAAGAACAGAGCTTTCACTGGGACTTTGATAAAGGCAGAACTCTCGATGTCTATCAAAAATTAAATTTTACACCAAGATATTCTTTCTTGTCATGATCAACTGATGAACCCCCCCCTTAATTTTTTCCATTAGTTAACTTTTAGCAGGTAATGCAAAAAATCAGACCCATTAAGAATAGAACTTTAAAAAAACATCTAAAGGAGTAGCAGAAGTGGAAGGGGTAGGAAAAAGGAAAGAAGGGAAAAGAAAAAATATGAGAAAAGGAAAAAAATGGAAACAAAGTCTCTGTAAGCAGGGAAGGGTGGAGGGGGTGAAGGGAGGGCAGGGGAATGGGAAAAAATAAGAACCAAGATATGTAATGTAAAGGTACAAGATCCTAATGATGAATTTAACTGTATTGTATACCTAAAATGTACCAATAAACTTAATGGGGAAAAAAAAAAGAACAGAACTTTAAAACAGCCATTCTTTAGTCTTACAGACATTTTCTTTTTTGCAGTACTGGGGATTGAACCCAGGGCCTTCATACTGAGCTACATTATCTCCAGCCCGTTTTATTTGGAGATAGCCTCGCTAATTTGCTCAAACTTTCAATTTTCCTGCCTTATCCTCCCACAGCTCTGCAATTATAAGTATTTGAATTCCTACTGGATTTAAATCCAATTTTTCTAACTTCAATAGTGCTAGTTCCTCAATTTTATAATTTACCTTGATGTCTACAATATCACCCTTTTTGTAGATTCGCATGTATGTGGCCAAAGGAACAACCCCTGAAAAAAAAGTCAATTTTAGACAAAAATCCACAAAGATACTTAAAAAACTAGATTTCCACACACATCTTTTCTTTTTCACCGCAGCACTAGATATTGAAGCCAGAGAGCACTGAGCTATATTCCCAATCCTTTTTATAACTTTCAAGGTTAGGGTCACTAAGGCACAGGCTGGCTTCAAACTTGAGATACACTTCCCTCAGGCTCTTGAGTAATTAGGATTGCAGGTATGCACCAAGCCAGGTGCACACACTGACAGTTTATTAATTTAAAAATCTTGCCAATAGACAGTTTCTTGAGAATGCAAAGGCAGTCTACTACAGGACAACTTCTCTCCAAAGTTTAATCGTATACTTATTAGAAATAATTCAGGTATGTTCTGGTTATTTACTATTACTGATTAACATTGTATGAACCATATACATTAAAAAATAAAAAAACCAAATTATCTATGTCATGCTTTCCCTCAAGGAGGGTCAATTTACTTACCATGTTTTCTAAAAGGCCTAGAGAACATATACCGAGTCCCCCTCCTCTTCCCCTTTGTGTTCGTCATTTTGGCAAATTACTGAAAGCAAAAAGTATAAAAATAGTCAAACAACAACTAAGATTGTTGCCATATGCCCCTTTAGCCCCTCCTCCCAAAAGACCTATAGTTTCAGTGTTCCTATTACAGTAGTGATTTGAAATCTAAAAGGCTGGATGGAGCACCAATCAGTATTTCTTTTAAAGGATACAAACCCTGTCATTTTATCAGGTAAGGTCTTTGCCAAAGCAGCCCAAGTTCTATAACATTAAAACTCCTAACCACAACTGGGTATTAAACCAGTATGCCTTCCCTATCAGAATATAAAAATATACCAGGACTTGTATCACATATCTATAAAACCCAGTCAAGAATGCCAAAAACTTTGCAATTACAGTACTAACTACAGATAAGTTACTGTTGGAGAACATAACACTCAGCCTTAGATTTTCAGGGGGTGGATAAAGCCTCTTTTCTTACTGACCTAATTTTCTGTGATAGCTTATTTCAACTTACCATCTACTTAACCAACAATTTCTCAACTCACTTCATACTGCTATTTACTATATTTACTAAGAAATGTAAAGCGGGTAGAAAGGGAAAACATCTACTGGTAAAAACTCAGTACAGGCTGTCACTTTCTGGGAGATCTACATTTAAGCTCACATCTCTACCTGTAAAATGAGGTTAGCACTTTTACACTGAGGTAATGTCTACACAGGGCACTCAGCAATTTTGGCATAGGTGGACTGCTTCATAACTGGTATCTTTTGTTTCTTGAGGCAGGGTCTTGCTATACAGCTTAAGGTAGCCTTTAACTATGTACATAGTCCAAGATGGCCTCAAACTCCTGTGTCTCCCTCCCAGATAAATGGTTATCTATTTTGTCATTATCTATAAATTCACCTGTTTATAGCAATGATAGTGAACCTTTTAGAGATCTCGAGTGCCAAACTGCAACCCAAAACCCACTTATCGCAAGGTGCCAACACTGCAATTAAACTTGAATACTGAGATTTTAGTTTAGAAATAACTCACATTAGCATCCTGTCTTAAAAGAAAAACACAGTAACAGGCATGCCATAGGTTCACCTACAGGTATTTAGAATTTAATCTTAAATAATGGTTTTGGTAACTGTGAACTGCCAATCTTGGTGATTACTCTTAATCATAAGGCAAAATACTCCAGCCAGCCTTAACCTGTTGACAGTGTTCTGAAACCGTGGCAGTCTCTTAATTTATCAACACTCTTAAAAATGACTACCAAACATAGTACCCTGTCCATAAAAACTGCCTGGGAGACACAATGTTTCACTTAACTCACCAAAGTCAAACCTTTGTTTCAAGGGATGATGTATCCTTTACTTTTAGGGTAACTGGGAAACTACAAACTTGTTCTAATCCTTAAAATCCCCCCAAACTGTATGAAATTTATATTTATGCTCCACATATTCAAATCACTTTTTTGTGTGTGTGGAGCCCAAAGGCAGCAAAATCAGTCATGTAATTTCTGACCCCAGAGCCCGTGTTTCTCCACCAAGCCCATTTTCCGAAGTAAAATATCCATTTTACACCTAAACCCAACACACTAAAACAAGTTTTTCAACACAATGCTCAACATACAAGCCAAAGACGGCTACAATCTATAAAGGTTGGTTTTTTTTTTTTTAAGCCAACTGGGATCCACTCTATAAAGTGAGCCCTTGTTGCCTCAACTCTGGTAGCTAGTTGGCTGTTAATATCCAGACTAGACCACGTTTCTAAAGTTGCTACTAAATAACTCACCCTAAACTTGTAAGCCAGATACATTGCTGTTTTGAAATTTCTTAATATATGCTGCGCAGAATTAGATCAAACTCCACCTTTCGGGGCCGGGGATTTAGCTCAGTGGTTTCGCCCAAGGACCCGAGTTCGATCCCCGGTACCAGAAAGAAAAACAAAACCAAAAACACCACCTTTTAGTATGTTTGTGTGGACGTTTAAAATTACCTTCTCTTCCTCTAAACGTCACTTGAAGCCAAAATTTAAAAGCGACTGTAAAACATTTCTTGAAATGCAGTAAGGGTCTGGGGTCCATTAGCCAGGTCGACACCAGGCATCCACATCATTCTCTAACCGTAAGTCCGGGCTTTCACACACATCTAGACCTCACCAGAGACAAAAACCGACTCAAGGTTTTGAACTCTGTTCCACAACCCCAAATCCCTACTCAACAGCATCACACGCTCAGGGATCCAACGGGGTAAAGATATCATATTGAAATGAGTTCCAAAGGTTTCGTGCCATGTGACCCTACACACAGTGGTGCGAGAGCCCAGGACGCCCAGGAGTTATGGAGACATATGACTTGAGCCTCCGCCAGATTAACCTTAATCCCCTCGCAGCGAAGGCTCCGTCTTTCTCGAGGCCGTCCCAATATAGAGTGGCGGCCTAGGAGTCCGGGCCTCGGTCCCACAGTGTACGATGCTCCAGATATGGCAGGACAGGCTAAGTTCAGCCCAAGCCAGTCGATCCCGGACGGCCTAAACCGTCTCCCTAGGATTCTAACGCACAACAGCAGCGGACCCAGCGTTATAATTTGAGTCTGTAGAACGCTACAAGCCGGGAGACACGTGAAAAGCCTACCTGGAAGATGGCGGTTCCGGCCGAAAGGAAGGAGGCGGAGCCGTGACGCGCGCCTTACAAGGGCCTGTGGGCTGCCCGCGGCGCTGCCTGAAGGAAGCGCCAACTGGAATTGGCTTTTCTAAGCAAGGAAGTCGTCTCTGACAACCAAGAGACTCTGTTCGGATACAGTACTGCAAACGAGATAGAATCGGCCAATACAAGCTGACACTTGGATTGTGTCAGACAGCCCGGAAAGGGGCCTTCAAAGGCGTCAACAGGACGCCGACGTCGTGAGCGTGCTGACGTCCGCTGCTGTGTCACGTCCTGGCCGGAAGCGAGTGTCTGCGTTTCTGAGGGGCGGTGGGCCCTTCCGAGAGTGTGGCAGAAATCTTTGGAGTCCTCGAAGCTGCTGCTTTATTGTTTGTAAAAATGATTACATGGGCGCAAAAAATAATTGTAATTAAACAAAAACGTGTAGTTTTATGGCAATCAATAGGTTTCCGTCTGTGCGTCTAAATGCACCCGCCGGAGATTAATACCACTCTGGAAAGCAATTTGGGAAAATCTAGTAAAATAAAGGATTTTAAAACACCACAGCCCAGCGTTTCACTCCTGTCTGTGTATGTCCTGTAGGAACTCTGATATGTGAACAAGGATATACATAATAGCACTGTGGGTAGAAGCAAAAAGTTAGAAACGTTCTTCTGTAAGAATACATTATGCATTATAAACAGGATGAAGTAAATATATGCTAGCAAAACGACTGAACTCAAACAGGTTGAGGCAAAGGAGGACGATGTAGAAGAAATACATAGTATGACAATACAGTTTAAAAGCTGTAGAACAATACTGTACATTGCTTAGATATACCGTGGACCTATGAACTCAATCCGTTCAAGGCCTGGTTGATTGTAAGTCAATACAGCTGAGATCTGGATGTTTACCTGGGTACATGCTATAGATAACAAGAGGCAGATGAATCTTCCATTAACCTGATTAACCCAAGTTGTTCGTATGTCAGTTGTAACTTGAGGGTCCACTGTACATGTAACGAAAGTATTCAAGAAATACAAGAGAATGAAAAACAAGTTTAGAAAAATGGTCATGTCTTCCCACCTTTCTTTCAGCTGATGGCTACCTCATTTTTATCAGGGTAGAAAGATGCTCTCTTTCCACCTAAAATGTGCCACCTTCATGGTTCTGTTTAATCTCATACTCCTTTCTAACTCCTGTTCCAGACTTTCATTTTTATTCCATCAAACTTTTACTTAAAAATCATGAAAGTACTGGTTTTGTACATCAGAAATGTTCAGGGACCAGAGATGTAGCTCAGTAGTAAACCACCTGCCTAGCGTGAGTGAAGCCTAAGGTTCAGCCTCCAGCACCTCAAAACAAAACTGTGCAATCAGCAGTTGTCAGATGGTTTGACCTAAAAATAGTCACCTCTCAGCTCCCGTTCTGTTTTCTATTTATTCGTACTTTTCCCCCAGTCGTGCTACTGAAACTGCTCTTTTGAATGCATAAACCACTGTGTTGCCTATCTTAGTTACTTTATTCATTGCTGGGACAAAATACCTGACAACTTAAAGGAGGAGAGGTTTATTTTAGCTCATCTTTCAGTCCGTGGTCTGCTGGCTCCAGGCAGAATGTCATGGCAAAGAGTTATGCTGGAGGAAAAGTTGCTCACTTCATGGCATTCAGGAAGCAGAGAAATTGAAGAACCTGGAAGGGAGGTACAATTTCCGAGTCATGCCCACAGTGACCTGCCTTTTTGAACCAGACCCCATGTCCTAACTGCAGGTCAGCTTTAATCCCCATATAATCTAATCACATTCCAAAGGTCCTGCCTATGATCTCATGAGGCTTTGGGGGGACATCTAGATACAGTATAAACCAAAACATTGCTCTATTACTTTCAGGCCTGGGGTGAGACAGAAACACGATGGTGGAAGGGCATAGTGAAGGAACACTGCTCATTGCATGGCATCCAGGAAGCAGAGCAAGAGTGAAACAGCCAGAGAAGAAGGAGCCAGGAACAAGTCCCCAAGGTCACATCACCATTATCCACTCTCATTAACTAGACCTCACCTCCTAGGTGTCCATTATCTCCCAATAACGTTATCAAATTATAGCCTATCAGTGAATTAAGCCACAATGAAGTTAATACCTTCTGAAAGCCCTACCTCGGACCACATAAAATTTTTGAGAGACATGTTCATCTAAATCATAACATTTACTCTGCTATTGCCGTTGACATTTCTCCAAACTAGAGTGGACATGGTGATTTGAGCAGCTCCCAGGTTCAAGTGGGAACAAGAAACCTTAAGAGAACTATCTGTGGGTGGTTTAGTGGCAGAGTGCTAGCCTAACATGTGTAAGGCCCCAGGTTCCAGTCCCAGGCTTTGAGAGGGAGAGAGGGGAGAGAGAGAGGAGAAGCGGGAGGGGAGAAGAGATGGAGGCAAGTCCCCTAAATGTAGTTAAGTACCAGTACCACACTGGACACAAGGCAATTCTGACTACCTGGCGCTTCTTAAACTTTTATTATGCATACACATCACCTGAAGGATTTGTTAAACTGCAGACTCTTATTCAGTAGGTCTGGGTTGGGCCTGAGATTCTGAATTCTAACAACTTCCCAGATAATGCTGTTCTTGGACCCCACTTTGAGTACAAGGTTATAGAGCTGTGGTTCTCAAATTAGATTTTTTTTTAAGAGACACTGGGTTCTTTAAAAAACACTGGCAGCTGTTCATGGTGGCACACACCTGTGATCCCAGCACTCAAGAGGCTGAGGCAGGAAGATGACTATGAGTTCAAGGCCAGCCTGGGCTACATAGTGAGTTCAAGACTAACCTGGATTACATAGCAAGACCCTGTATCAAAACAAAACAAAGAAAAAAACCAAAAAAACTTCAACACATATATATGTATGTGTATGTATATTATATAATATATAAGCCATACACACACACACACACACACACACACATATCTCATATATTTGGCTAAACCTGTCTTCCAAAGATTCTGATTCAGTTTAACTGAGCCTTGGATATAATTGTTTTTAAAAGTCTAGCAAATAGTGCTAATGACTCCTCAGAGGAATATTTAACAAATGACATTGTCAGTTATTTCCAATTCATTAATAACGCCTTGAATCAAAGATTGATTCATTCAGTCATAATTCATTTATTCAATTTTCAACCCTCATATTTTAATGCTCTATTTTAGAGAAATTATATATATAAATTCTCCAATTTCCAAGTAGCTTTTAGCTTCTCCTAGAAATTTCTACTTTCTTTCTGCTGGATTTTCAGTGGGTTTCTAACTAATAAAATTAAACTCTAAATAACATCCTTCCCACAAATTTCACACCATGCTGCTTCTTTTGGAACTAGACAATAGCAAAGAAGGGTAAAATTAAGTAGTCTAGAAGTTTATTTTCAGTTTATGTTTTATCAGAGGTGACTTGCCAGTCAGATGATATGTTAAAATTATACAGAATAAAAAAAAAGTAGTTTTATGAAACCCTTCTTTGTTTCATCCATGCCAGCATCTACTTCCTCCTCTACTCAGTTATTCCAAAGAAACCTCAGTCACCAGCTAGCTCATTTCATCTATAAATATTTTCAATATGTATCTCTAAAACAACCAGAATACTGCTAAAACCCTTTACAAATGAACAACTGCTGGGCATAGTGGCACATGTCTGTAATCCTAGCACTCAGGAGGCTGAGGCAGGAGGATCGCCATGAGTTTGAGGCCAGCCTGGGCTACATAGTGAATTCAAGGCCAGCCTGAACAACACAGTGAGACCCTGTCTCAAAAAAAAAAAAAAAAAAAAAAAAAGAACAACAATCCTTTAATATTATCAAGCATCCAGTTACTGATCACATTTCAATTGTTTTATAATTTTTTAATAATCTTTTAAAAATCAGGCTTCAAGGAAGGGTCACATGATTATTTTTACGTCTTTTAGATCTCTTTTCATCTAGAGGTTTCTTAAAACCTATGCTTCTCCAGTACTTTACTTGTGGACTAAACCAATTGATACCCTAAAGTACCCCACATTTTGGATTCTGCTGATTCTTACTCCACTGTGTTTTAACATGTTCCTCTGTCCTCTCCATTTCCGGTGGATTGAGAGTCTGATAAAGACCTGAAAAACAAATGTATTAAACATTAATAATGCCCAATCATGTTACACTTTTCAGGTGTGTGGGTGAAAGCAGTACTGTCTTCAGAAGGGGTCTGGTGTGTTGAAGTTGCCCAGTTCTGATTAGAATGAGGGCACACAGTAGAGACTAAGATCGTGATTGTGGAGCAAGATGGTACAGGAGAAAGCTCTCAAAATGGTATAGGACCTGCTTTTTGCCTTACCTCTTGCGGCCTGTTCCAGGCTTATTCTGTATGGAATCATAATGTCTGAAGCTCTGCTCACTGGGAAGATTGGCTTCCACCCCCTCCTTTGGGCCATTTTTGAGAGGTGCTGTAGTTCAGCAGCTCTACATTTCTAGCTGCTTCCATCATACTGCATATTCATTAATAAACCTAACCCACTTTTCCCTCCTCTATTAAGTGGCTGTAGGGAGCTCCATCTAAAGCCACAGGTATGTGATTAGAGAGGAGCACCAAAGCAGTAGGAACAGATGCCAGGGAAGTGAAACCACTTCCTTCTGAAGTTTGTTGTTTCCAGACCTGCAAAGCTTGGTCCCATCACAGATGCTCCTTGACTTACAATGGAGCCGCACCCCAACAAACCGAATGAAAGCCTGAAAATATGAGTAGAAACACATTTAATCTACCTATCCTGAAAAAGCACCATAGCTTAGCAACACAGCATACTGTAGAACTTTAGTGTTTCCCCTTTTGATCATGGGGCTGACTACGACTGCCAGCAAGGTCAGAGAGTCAGGCCACATATTGCAATCTTGGGGGACAGATCTAGATTCAAAATAAGTATGGTTTCTACTGAATGCACATTGCCTTCACACAATCATAAAATTGAAAAATCATCAGTTAGACAATCCTAAATTGAGGACTATCTGTATATTGATGGAGTGTGGGAAATGCTACCTGCAAATATAGCACCCAGAAATTTGAGGAAACAGCAGAAATAGGTTATAGAAAGTAGAAAGTCCTTTGCCCCTTCTCTGAAGCAGCCATAAAACTTACCTGACCTTCCACTGAAAAACAGATCTCAGGATCCTTATTTCAGTGGGAG